TACGTTTTGATTTTTTTCTTAACAAACAGAAAGCACTGCATCAGAGAAATAATCTGCTTTTGTCAATGGCTTTTATTTGTGACTGGAACAAACTACAGGCTCCCTACTTTGGCAGCAGCATATAACTCCAAAAGGTTAAATATCCCAACACCTGCATGCCTTTTCTCTGAGCTTCTAGCCCTGTACATCTGAGCACAGGTTTAAGAATATCCAGTGCAGTGAACATTTTGTTAAATTTACTTTACTTACACAGAGTCAATAGTGATTAAGTGAACGGTTTTTGACAGTCTGAGTTCTCTAGCTTGTAAAATAAATAATAATAACAAGAAGTTAACAGTTCCAACATAAATCATAAATTTGTCTCTTCTTTTGCTGGGCCAGACTTGGAGATCAGAATCTTGTGTTTTCCTTTATAAGTGTCACAATTGAGGCAGAAAGCACAAGACAAAAAAAAGTTCCTAGGAGTTTAGAAAAATATCATATTTGGGCATTTTAAAATGTCCATTATTGCTTTGTGTAGCAGCTAAGTCCAGCATTCAAGTCTTGCATGTAAACAAATCTTGTGTGAGTGTTTTTTGCTAGTTTTGGGGGAAAAAATATAAAAAATAATTGTAATTTTTTTTTATCCTCGTTCAATGATGGCTACTGTGTGTAGCTTAAAGTGAAGAATGTGCTGAAATTTGTCAATATAAAAAGCACTTTTTTTAAGCACCTTGTGTAACGTTGCATCTTCCCATACTCTGGTGTGCCAAAAGATCTGGAAAATGTGTAAACTTAGAAACACTGATGTGGTCCCATGCTGTTCTTGTGAAACAGCTGGTAAGAGAGCTATATTAACCAATGGAGCAGTTGAAATAATTTTAATGCTTAATCAGTAGGAAAACCTTTCTAGTACAGTGAAACTTTGACTACTAATACCCTAACTAGTGAATCAAAAGTTAATTTTGACTTGCTACTATTCATATAGAAAGTGACTTTAGTGTTACCAAAGTATCCACAATGTGTGTCTGCCCTTGAGACATTTCAAGCGCAGATGGTGTGTGGAAGAGGTAGGTGTGTGGTTTCTCAGTTATGCCATATGGCTTTATTTGAGAAAAAACTTCAAGTTGTTTAACTTCTGCTCAAATGGGCTAATATCCTTTGTTTGCTGTCCTTTTTCTGTCCTAAGCATAGGCTGGTTTTGTGGCTTCAAATTAATAAACCAATGTCTCATTCGGTTCCTAAACTGCACAGCTACCAAATTTTTTTAAAAAATTATTAAAAATTGTTATGACTGTACCACCTCAGGGCTGCGTTACTCATGAATGCCCACACCTTTCCATATGGTGAACCGATTCCTTTCCAGTGGCTGGTGTCATACATCTGTTCAATGTTAATAACACGCATATGTCTTCTGCCTTCAGGATGAACTGTTTGTTTTGCCTGGCACCTTCTCCCCCTTTCTCTTACTTTTTTTTTCTTGTTAGGTGCTGCATAAATAGTAAATAAAGTAGCTTGCTGTGCCCAGGGGATTTTTTGTGAGCAGCCACATGTGCAGCCTGCATCCTTTTCCGTGAATGGGAATCTATTTGCTCCACTTCCAAAACTTATCAGGAAGCAAGACAGGCCGTTTGAGGTAGATGACAAGGACAACTAAAACATAGGATGTTTCATCTGCAGTTTCTGCATATTCTATACACAGTGACTGGTAAATTCTCATCCCGATAGAAAACACAGTCCAGCACACTTTCTAATGGTATTGGGAAGTATTTTTTTTTTTAAGTACTCTGCAAATTTCAGGAGTTTCAACCACCTGTGTGACTAATAACTGTTTTCCTGTTGTCCTGCCTCTCAAGAGGTTCAAAACATTAAGGAAAAGCTAAGGTTCCCTGAAACTTTCTTTGTAAAAACCCGTGTTTGTGTAAAGCAGACTATGTAAAGTGGCATGAAAGCATTACTGTAAGTCAGACTGTTTCTGCGTTCTGTCTTTTAGAGCTGGAAACTGGTGGAAATGCCTCGCAAACTCTGGAAATGTTGGTATAGTTATGCTGGACTGTAAAGATGGGCCAAAATATGTTGATAGAGTAGTGACTGTGGTCGAAAGCAGTCCCGTCGTGTCTCACCCAGGCAGTTCAGGTGAAGAGGAGCCTGTGTGCCTTGGGGTTGGTATTCTTTATCAGCCCCATATCCTGAAGTGGGAACAGGACTTTCGTGTGAGCAGCTGGGGAAAGTCACTACTGACAAACTGCTTGTGTCAAGCTTGGAGCGCTGTCTCTCCCTTTCCTGCCACAACCCTACAGCCATTATGACCTCAGATAAACTGTAGAGAGCACTACAGAAGATCAGCCTTCAACCAAAAATTACATTTTCAGCTTCAACTATACAATAACATCTGATGTTGTCAGGTTTTCCAACTGAGTATGTTTGCAGGCTGGCCAACCGTAGTGCTTAGGGTGATGATAAACTGCTTTCACAAGAAGTGAGCACAACTCACTGAACGTCTTGCATCACATCTGAAACACGGGGGTAGATGGAGTGCATGTTCCCACGGACTGACCCCCTTGTCAGGTCTGGTAGTGTTGGCAGCTATGAGTATGTGAAAAGTGATTGTTAAAAGCTGCTGAAACGATAGCTTATTTATGTTAAAAAAAATAAAAATAAATCTCGCTGGCTTGTGTGCAGCATCCACTCTGCTTTTGGTGCTATAATAACCAATTGATTCCTCAAAGCTTTTTACCATGTGCTTATATGCTTTTCAGCATGTTCAGGGTTATTTAGCACATAGTAATTGCACCCAGGTTTAGTGCACTGTTGACTTTTAAAGCTCTGCCGAATCGTGGGCCGCCTCTGCATCGCTGTCTCTTGTCTTTTGTTGCATGTAACTCCCTGCACTAGAAAAAGCTTGGAGGAAGTGGTACTTAAGGGATCACATCAGATGCTTCAAACGGGAGAAAAGCAAATGCTGCTGAACAAAGGCATGTTTGATCTGGGACTGGAAAAAGGCTTTAAAAACCTTTCTCAACTTCTATCTAACCTCTGGCTCAGGTACTCTTAATATAGATGAAATCTGAGAAGCTTTCAGAGCCTCAGGTTGAATAGTGTCATAGATGGTGTTTTATACTTGTGGTGTTTTCCAAAAATAATTTTCTAGAGAATAATGCCAGTATTGTACTGCTAATTTTGGACTAATAGTTGCTGATGCTGGGTTGCTAACCTGCTGTGTTTGGAACTCCCCTTGGCCCGGTATTTAAAACATAAATAAAGTTATTTTAAGCTTCAGCAAAATTGTAGAAGCAACTGTGTCAAGTCTGAGTGTCCCCTGTTGCTCTCTGTTTGTGGTGTAGGAAGGGGGAACCCTTTTGATCATCTCAGTAATCAGATACCAGTAATTCTCTGAAGCCAAATTCAAGCAAGCCTGCCTCATATTAACTCCCATATCCTGAAAACAGCTAAATTATTTGAGAGCCACCTACACAGCTCTCAATTACATTTGTTTCTGATGATGTGTCTCAGTGGCTTAACCATAGTACCATACTGTGTATTGGAATTAGTAAAACAAGAGTGTTTCAAACCTACTTCTACGTATAAAAGAAGGGTGAGCCTCATTCATCCATGTGCTCCTTTAACAGCAGCTTTTTGGTTTTCCAAGAAGGGGGACCAGGCGCTCTGGAGAGAGCTCACTACAGGAAATACCCTGGCACCAGCCCTATCAAACCCCTTCTGGCATTTTCCACGTTACAGTCAGCTCCAGGTACAGCTGCTGCCAGCTCTCCTGAAACTGGTTATTAAAACAGAGATAGGATTTTTCTTTTTGTTAGCCCGGCCTTGGAAACCAAGGGCTCAGCATTTGTGTGAGTGGGGAATTGTTTGTGGTGGTTTTTCCCCCCCAGCGATGAGGACTAAAACTTAACTGAGGAAGAACTTGCCCGGCACACTTTTGCTCTTCTCCCTCCCTAAATAAACACGGTATTTCAGAAAAATAGCAAGAGCTGGTAGTGCTGTTCTTCAGATTACCCAGCAGACTTCAAGTGTGTGGATCTGAAGTCAGCATCAAGCATAACAGCACTGTGGATGCTCAAAGTACACGTTATCTTACCCGAAAAAGGATCCATGTGATAAAGATCTTTCAGTTTGTTCCTGCTTTCTGATTCAGGTGCATGAATCCCTAGATATTGTGAAGTGTTTTATGAAGTGAGCTAATGATTTCTCTTTGAGTGTTGAGGTCAATCCGTGGTACTTAATTTGTAGGATCAAGGACTAATTTAGATTAGCTAATAAAGTGGCCAAATGTTCATGAGACATTGGGTGGGGAGAAAATGGCAGTCTTTAAAAGCTCTTTAGACTTACTTAGCCCCTGGGTGAACAGATATATAATGCATTTGCACGCCATTTGAGCATGACGCTTTCATATTTCACAGTTGCAGAAATCATTTTTATAAACAACCAATTGTCATACAACAGGGAACTATTTACATGTAGTTTTGTTGCAGTCAAGCCCACAATTTGCATTGCAGGGACTTTTTTTTTTTTTTTTTTCCCCCCTCCAAAGGTTAATTATATCAGGATAGAACTAATGGATGAGTGGCAGGCCCCCGAATCGCACTTCTGGATGGATGTCTTGTGATAAATTTAAAGGTAACTGGGAAGAAAGTCTCTGCAGGTTGGGTGTTAAGCAGTTATATGATGACAACCATTAGCACATTTTATGTATCAAAGAAAGTATATCTTTTAATTGTGGAAAGCAGGAAATGCTTATGAAAAGCCTTCCTTCAAAAGATCAAGTAAATTTTTACTTCTGACTTCACTGGAGTGCGTGTTTGCCTTGTTACTTCTACTCTGTGGCTTTGGCAGTCCAGTGTGATTTTTTTTTTTTTTTTTTTCCTTTTTCCATCTAATAGGTCTTGTCTGAAATGTATGTGTGTCTCCTTTTCATCTGCTGCTGCTTTCCTAGGAAGCAGAGAAGTTTCTCAAAAGGACTTGTAACAGACGATTTAAAATTTGTTATTTATGCAATGTTGCAGAGGAAGATGATGCTGAGGAGGTGCCAGAATTTCAGGTGTCCGGGAAAATTGGAGCAAAGAAGCAGAGGAAATTAGAAGAGAAACAAGCCAGAAAAGCACAGAGAGAGGTAAGCATTTCCTGCCACGTATAGAGCCCAGAGCAGAGCTGAATAGCAGTACTCAGCAAAGAACTGGTGATGACAGAGACCCCAGAAAGGCAAAGGCAGCGTCATCACTGCAAGTTATGTGTTTTAAAAATGTAAATTCAGATTTATATGTCAGATCCCAAGAGAGTCAGGCAAAATAGTGTCTCATTTTCTTTCCATTAGGTTCTCTGGCATTCTCGTAGGGCAGAGAGAGGATTTAAATTCTTGAATGCTCTTTATTGGATGTTTCCACTAGCTTGCAGCTTCATATCAGTACTGTCTCCCCTTAAAAATGCATTCAAGCCCACATAGCGTTGTTGTAACACTGGGTCTGCGACCAAAACCGTGGGCAGTTCTGAGTAATGCTTCATGTGCTCCCAGTGCAAAAACTTTGTACACGTTTATCTATGTTTAGTCTTGTTTATTGTTTTTATAGACTGGGGGAGATGAAGATCAGACCCTGTAATCCACTGAAATTTGCGATGCAGTCAGATTTTGGTTGAAATTTGGCCATTAAACAGAGACAAAGTGTGCAGAGTGAACACACTGTGGCTTTTCAATTGTTCTTTCTTAAATCTGTGTGCAAAAGTACTTCTGTAAATACGGTTGCTTTTCTTCAGTTTTGCCCAGCATGTTGCTGTTATTCCAGAGAAGCAGCAGGCTCTTTGAAACTTACTGTCTCAAGTGTACTCATGGATGGCAGCAGGTTATGCATTAATTCCTTTTAGTTGTTCTATTTTTTTGCAAACTGTGTTGTTCTGTAACTTGGAACATGAGGTTGCAAGAAGCAGATAAACAGCCTTTGCATAACAGAGGGTCGAGTGCACAGTGAACTTCACACATATTACAACAAGACAGGGTTTATGAAACTGCTAACATTTCTAATGCGTAGAGGGTCCAAATGAAATCCCATTTTGAGAATTTTAGTGTCACCTGAGGTTTCAATCTAGTTTCTGCTTTACACCGTGGTGGTATGCCCTATAGATAGGGTGGTTGGTAATAAACTTGATTATTATATAATATATAAACTTCCATTACGGTCCTTTTCTCACTCTGTTTTAACTATTTTGTCATTACTTTCCATATTTATTCTATTTAATTAGCCTCTTTTTGTGGAAAAAATTGAGCAAAGTCGAATGAAGTTAGATGAGCATCAGTTGGTGGAGTGAGGAATCCTTTGTTTCATTTTAAAACATGCTGATTTTTATTTTCCCATGTAGACAGATAAATTCCTTGGTTAGATCTTTTCTCTGAAACAGTCAAAGCCACAAATCCTCCATTTGAATGTCTTTTGCTTGTTCTCTTAATATATTTTCAAATTTAATTATACTGAAGAAACTCAAGAACAACTTAAAACTCTAAACAATACACTAAATGCCTTTTTTATTTTTTTTCCCCATTTTGCAACAATCTCTTTGCTAGATTTGATTTAAAAACAAATAATAAAATTGTTTGAGAGACTGGTACAGCTTTTTCTTTAAGAGATTCTGCCTGGGTTAGTGATAAATTTGAATGTACTTGGTTTTACAGAGTTTATATTTCCTTTTCCTTTTGTTCTCTGTCCTTAGAGTCCCTTCTAACTAAATTTTAAGTGAGGAGAAATGGAATGCCATGACATAATATTGCTTAATATTACTATAGTAATAAACTCATATGCATTTACCAAGCTTAAAACCCTTATTGAGATAGAGGTAATGCAAGTGAGAAGGGTAATTTCAAGTTTATCATAATATGAAGTTATCAAACTTCTTTTAATGCTGAAGATTATGGGGTAGGGGAGAGTTAAATGATAATGACTTTTTTTTCTTATTCTCTTTACTGTTTCTGTCTGAATGTGCATCTAGGAAGATAGTAAGAAACCCTCCTATGGTACCACGATATGAAATTAAAAAATGTACATTCAGAAAGAATAAGGCTTGGCTTGCATTTTTTTTTTTTTAGGCTGAAGAAGCAGAGCGAGAAGAACGGAAAAAGCTTGAGTCAAAAAGAGAGGAGGAAAGGCGGAAAGAAGAGGAGAGAATACGTCTTGAGGAGGAACGACAGGTGGGATTGGTTGTATTTATAGAAGGAAATTTTGAACCAAATTTGTCACTGAGATTGCTTCTACCTAAGTTCTGTGATCAGCAGAACTCCCTTTGCTTTTCATTGCTATTGTATACATTTTAAAATTCGTTTTTCCATTGCTCCATGTTGTTTGAATTACAACAGTACTCAGTTATTTCAACTGTAGATCCCAGCTTTGTTCCTCCAAGTGCTTGGCAGAAGTGAAAACTGCTCCGAACATGAATACAGGCACGTAGCAGCAGGCACCCACCCACGGTCGAGTCTAGGGCAAAATGAAACCTGATCTCCTGGTAGTGGATCTGCTACTGGTGGATGCCGTAGTGACAGATTGTTTGGTCAGTTTGTTATGTTGACAAACACAGCTGATAAAGTTGGAATTAATTCCTCTGGGAGCAGTTTAAGTGCAGGTATATGAAGGAAGGAGCTGTACCTAGTTGCAAAAGAAATTTTGGGGGTTGCTTGCTTGGTGTCTGACAGGAGAAGTTTGATTATCCCAGAATCATAAAATAATCTAGGTTAGAAGGGACCTCTGGAGACCATCTGGCCTATCCTTCTGCACAAACTGTGTCCAGTTAAAGGAGGTTGCTCGAGAACTTGACCAGCCCAGATCTGAGTGTCTCTTAATGAAGGAGATTTTGCAATCTCAGGGGGCTCCAGTGCCATTTTGCTGGTTAGTGCTGCCTGCCTGACAGCTGTAACCAGCAGGGCAGAAAGTGAAAGACAGCAGCAACCAATTTTGCAACTGTCGTGTAAAATTACATTATTTTATTCTAATTATACACATTTACATGCGCTTCACAATTAAAGATTTCTAAACTATGCATACGAAGGTGTGTGTTAGCAGGAGTGACCCAGAAAAACAGGTACTGTGCAGTTGAAATGCTTTTGTTGAATACTTTTCATCAGTGAGGGAGGCAAATTTCTTTCAGAACTCCTTTGTGGATTCTGGGCGTCGGTGCTACTGGCTAAGAACTAGGAACGAGCTTTGTGCTCTCTGGTGCTCGAGCAGGTTGTGTGGTAGCTTTGCAATTTGCTTCTGGAGGCAAGGACCGAGATGTTCTGCACAATCCTGTGCTGAATAATTGCTGTCCCAGGGGAGCGTAGCCCGCAGCTTTCAGTGTGAACTTTTGAGGATACTTAAATGTGCATGGAAATGTATGTGTCTGGTTTGTAGTGAGCAGATTTATTTTAATTTGTTCTACGCACAGGTTGTGTAAGCGGAGTAACATTTTAAAGTAAGCTGATAATATTTTAAAAGGGGAAAAGACAATTTTTTCTTACCTCTGTTGGGGACAGATAGGCAAGATAAAGCAATTTAAAACATTTTTTTCCATACATCACACATGCAGATTGTATCCGTGAGATCTTTTGTAGAATCTACATTTACCTCTGGGGTTGTCCACCCCAAAATCCTTTATTTTCTGAATTCTCTCTTATTTCCTTTTCATCAGTAGAAGGCTTCTGAATTTCAGACATTGAAATGGATGAGGAGAATGTCAGTATTACAACATTAGGATACGTAGCATAGTCTGAGACTTTGACTTGTAAAGCAACTTGAACAAACTTCCAGGGGACCAATTATTCCACAGTTGCCCTTCTGAGAAAGATGTTCAAATTTAGCAGCACCTGGTCAAAGTGTGAACCCTGAGGTTAAATATCTGATCTCAGCTAGTCCAAGCCACTCCCGTGCTTAACCAAGGTGTTTCTTAACAGCAGAACTATCAGACCCAGATTTCTCTGAATCTGTGTCAATCCCTCTTCCCCTGCTTATGCACTGCAGTAGCACCTGCTTCTGCCTTGAGGTCCCAGCAACCACTCTGCTTTTCTCCTAAGTATTGCCAATCTCTCCCCCTCATACCTCCAGCTTGGAAGGAGGCAAGATGAGCTCTGACTGCCTCTAAAGCACCTGTCTGTTGCTCATCCTGCTCGCCATGGGGCTTGATATAACACATAACTCAGATGGCAAGTTTCCCTCCAGTGCTGTATTCTTTTAAGTGTTTTGTCTCCACCCAGTTCCCTTTTTTTTTTTTTTCCCCTAAAGTCCCGGGACTTTACTATCCTTGAAACCCTGAAGAGTTGGTTGAAATGAAACAAATATCTCCAGTACTCTGAGAGGAATTAGGAGGGCACGCTGGCTGGACTCTAGCATTGTTTCAATGTCACTGCCTTTAGAGGAGGCTAACAAACAGAATTTTAATTCTTTCCAGAGTGGTAGCCAGCACGGCAGGTGAACTGCTAAGCAAATTGCAGTTGAGCTTGGCCAACCTGTTCCAAAGAAGCTGTAGCCCAGGACAAAGATGTTATCCCATTAATTGCCTACGGCTTTGACCTGGGGTTTAGCAGTGCAGCTGGCTAATCAGGACCATGGTTGAAAAGCTGAGTAGAAAATAAGGGTGAAGTTCTAACTAGAAGGTCTCCTCACACAGTAAGTGCTTATTAACGAGTTTATCTTTTCTTTTTTTTTTTTTTTTTTAAATCTACTTCTGTTTAATTTAGAGCTGAGTAATTTCTTTTGGTTGAATGGGGAAAATCTTACTTGTTTTTATTTTCAGTATTCGTAGTAAAGATTGCACTAAAACAATTCCACCTCTGTTTTGCAAGGCTCAGTAAAAAAGAGGAATAAAAACCTTCGGGTGTTTTATATTTTTTAAATTTTCTGTTCAGTGATTCAAAGGAGTACTTACTAGTGTTTTGAAAATTGTTCAGGTGCCTGAATCTAGCTTGCTATTCACTTTAGCCAATACTTTCCTTGGCTACTTAAATTCTGTAATTTTAACTTATTTTTGGTTGGTTGGTTGGTTTGTTTTTCCCAGCAGTCTTTATCAGGGCAGCAAGATAACCCGCCAGGCTACATCACGAACATTATTCTGCTACTCGGGGGAAAGTGTTTTCAATATTTTATTTTTTTGCTTGTGTCTAAGACAAGTTGATAATCCAGTAACCGCTGATCATTTTGAGCGTGGATCAAAGTGCATTTGTCTGACAGTATTTAATGTCTATCCTCAACTGTTTTCTAGTAATTTTAAGTGTCTGTCTTCAAGTCTTTAACAGGAAATAGAACAATTCAAGACTTGTACGGGTATAGGCTGTGTTGCTCAAGTTCCTGCTTCAGTCAGCAAAGAAAGCAGTATTACAGGGAGCATGCTAATAACAAGACTTCAGTGTTTTAGTCTTGACTGGGTGATAGGAAACAAATTGAATGAACAGATACTTGATTACTGTGCATGTAAGCACAGCCTGTCTTTATGATCATAACATCTTTCAAATCTTGTTACAGATTGATTGTGTGATGTAAAAGATGCTGCCTCTCTCTTCTAGGCCCCTATAAGCAATAAAGGGATCATTGGATTTATTGTGTTTTTTATAGAATGCATAGTATATTTATATAGTCATTTATATAGTCATAGTCATTTATATGTTCCTCTAGAGAAGAGGTTCTTCATTTCCACAAGTAACGTTTTGTCATGAGTAAGCCCTTGTGGGCTACAGTGGGATGATACTATTCCCCCATATAGGGCAGGAGATGGAAAGGCAAAACTACTAACAGTAGCTCAAATAGGGATTGACAGTCAAGAGATAAAAACCAGAGGGTAGCTCACTGTATGATTTTTGAAGGCAGTTTGACTACTGAGGTTTTTGTAGTTTATATCATCCCATAAGGCACAAGAAATCTAGAGCTTTATCACTGAAGAAATGATAGAAATTGTCTGAGAAATGTTAGGGTTGTCAGCTTAATTTTTTTTCCTTTCCTTTTCCAATATATCAAGAGTATTTCAGCAGGTGTAGTGGCAGTGGCAAGTCTCCAGACAAGCACAACCAGCTTTGTTAGCTAAATTTCAATTGAACGTTTTTTTCAATCTCTCTCCCAAAAAGTGCTACAAAAATTGTGTTGACTTCTATGAACATTGAGATTGGCTTTGTGTGAAGGAGAGTTTCATTTCAGAGTTTCTGCTACAGCCTTAAACTAATAGCTGAGACCTAGGCAACAGCAATAGGTGATTCCTGTGCCATTAAATATCATCTTAAAAGTTTGTCAGATGATGAGAGAAGCCAAATAGATCAGGAGGATATCAAATCATGTTGCAGCGTGCAGATCTTCTAGAAATTCCCCAGTGTTGATTTTTGATAAAGTCACCAGGACTGTTAACCCTTTTTCACACATACCCCCTCCACACACACACTCAAGTAGTTTGAGATATGAAGTCAGGTGGAAATAATTCTTGAGTCAGATAAAACCCCACTTTGTTTTATAAGCAAATGGATGTTTCTCTCCAATTATTTTTGGGCAACTATGCAGCGCTGTACAAAAAGTGGGACCTGTACCTTCAAGGGAATTATAAGGGCTAACACCTTGCATTTTCTTGAAGAAAAATAACCCCCTGGTTCTATTTAAATATATTTGTATGCACATATAAATAAAATGTGGTTACCCCTTGGTTCCAGTGTTGCAAACCAGATAATATATTTTTAAATTCAAGTTTCCTTTCCAGTGTTCTGCTGACCTGATTGGCTAATGCATGTGAGGAAGCTTCTGTATAATTGGCATTTGCTTCAGCTCTGCTTTACCCTGGGGATTTCCCTTTCACTCTTGGAGTTTTTTAGTGGTGAGATGGTTTACCAACCGACACCTTATCAATGAGAGCGAACTTCCTCTGATGTTGCAAAACTGTCTTCATACAAAGCCTTGCAGATTGCTCGCACAACAGCTTCTTTTTTTTTTTTTTTTTTTTTTTTTTTTTTTACTCCCTCAGCCTAGCTTTGCCGTGCTAAGGAAACTGCTTGTGCAGATGCAGGGCTCACAGCTATCACTCTTCTATACTACAATGCAGAGTTGAACAGGGTGTGTTGCTATAAATCCACTGCAGAGTGGACTGCTCTGGAAACACAGCTTGGTACAGCAGAGAAGGTACCAATCTTCCACCAAGCAAGCTTTTAACTGTTGTGAAACAAAAGGCCACAGCAGGAGTGGGGACTGGTGTATGTCCACCGTTACATTAAAATGAGATCTGTATTGCTCAAGCATAGCTGTGCCCAAAGTTTCCCAACGAGGGCAATTTCACGTAGTCTTTCACTTTGGCATTTAAGTGCCTAAAAAAGCCAAAAAAAATAGTCTGGATCTTCAGAGCTCTAGAAATGAAGGATCGGCTAGTGATCCCAAGGGTCCTGCTGAAGATTTTGAGAACTAAGACCTTAAAGTTGTGGCTCTTTGATTTGATGTTAGATCATATCAGAATAAGCACCAAGTTTTAAAATGTTGATTTATTTTGTTCTGTGTAGCATTATGCGAACATCAAGATTTGTGTGCTTCTCAGCAGCAGAGCTTTTCATTATTTGTTTGGCGTTTATATCCACTATTCATACATAAACAGTGCATTTCTGGAGGCTGATGGAGACTACTACGTAGTTTCAGTTTAAGCATCAGTTTTCAAGTGTGTATACTTTCCCGAAAGTTAATTTCTCCTAAGGAAGTACAAGTTGAAAAGCTTGCAGACAACTCTGATTTTGAAGGGATGAAGACTGGTAAGAACACTTACTCTGTCTTACTAAAGGTGTTTTTTTATTTTGTGTCTCAACAATGTGTGTGGGGGGGAAATCCTAGAGATCCGTCTGCTCTATGCCAAATTATTTACTTGTAAAGTCCCTTCCTGCTTTCTGCAGAACCTCTATCAACAGCACAAAAACTGGATGTTATACAAGGAGGGTTTCTTTGGTCCATGAACCTCAAAGCAATTGGCATAGGAACCAAAATGCTCTTCCTCATTCTGCATGTTAAGGAAACAGCCTGAAACAAGGAACCAACTTGTAGCAGGTGGTGGTTGAAGAGAGTCCAGGACCTGTTCTACCTTCCTCACTAGCAATGAAATCTCTTCCAACTTAGCAGTTGAATAAGCTGTCTATAAATGATTTGTTTGTCAGCAAGTTGGTCCTTTATCTGATTTGGAGGAGAGTTGGCACAGCACACAACTAGCAGTTTCCTCTCTGGGAAAGCCGCTTAGGCAAAGCTCTCAGAAAAGCTACTTGCTCTATAGGCCAATATTGCTTAGTCTCAGTGTCAACCTTAAATGGGTTACTGCATGGAAAGCTAGAAACGGTGGTTTGGTGTGTTCCTGCTGGACAGTACTGTAAGGGTCCTCACCCTTTGCTAAAAATGGTAATACGTGATAAACCCTCTTCGGCTGTAATCTATCAGCCAGCCAGAATAGTGCAGTTACTCAAGCAGCATCCAGGACTCCAGAGAAATTTGTGATCCCAAGAGTCAAGGTCTGTTTTCAGCTATAAGTCTAAAAAAGTTTAAGTTGCTATTGGTTTCACTTGGTAAAAGATTGAGCTCTTGTGCAGTGGGAACAATTAATGGGATTGATGTCATGGATATAATCATTGTGATCAAGGTAAGAGGCAAACAGGAAGGAATGATCTGAAAGGAACCTCAGAGCAAATCCAGGTCCTCAGTGGGCAGGTGGGATGGAGAGAGCCTGGAGAGCAGCGGAAAGACTGGTGCAGTGGGAAGTCGGTGCTGACCAGGTCAGGTGTAGGAAGGGGTAAGGGTGTTGGAAAGTGTCTCCCAGAGTGCTGGAGACCCGCAGGCTGCAGCGAGCTCTGGAAGCTCTTGGATTTCTGCTATGCAAGGTGACACATGCGACTCATAACAAGGATGCAGAGGTAGAGTGATAGCGTGGACATTTTATCGGAAAAGAGACAGAGAAGAAAGGTTTGAGTGATTAAATTTATCTTTTTTTTTTCCCAATAAAGACATGATCAAAGTGGGAAAATTTGTTCTTCACCTGCAGTATAGTAAACTGATCAAAAAGAAATCTTTACACTGCAGCAAGCCCCCATTTGGGTAACATTTAGGTGGGTAAGGAGAGAAGCAAACCTGCTTTAAAAAAAAAAAAATAAATAAAACCAAGCAGCTGAAGGTGAGCATCAGCAGTTACCAAATTTCCATGATGCTGGGATTTCCCCATCACCCCACCCATGGTTTGAAGGGAGGTGGCCCAGCTATTATCTCTCCTCTGAGCCACATGCTTTACCACTTAACTCCACAGCAGTTAATGAAATCGGAACGGGGAGGGGCAAAGAAGCCTGACTAGCAAAGAGGTGGTTTTTTTAAATTTATATTTGAGCAGAGTGTCCCCGGTATGACTTGCACAAAGCAAGTGCTGGGCTCTGTTTCATTAGCAGACCCTGGGTGCTGAGAGTGTTTCTGTGGGGGGGTTATGCGTACAGACAGGCTGGGTTTTGTGGGAATGCAACCTGCCTAAATTTGACCGTGCACTTTCCACGCAACTGCTGCATGACTTGGGCATGTGGAAGATGAGTGCTAACGTGATGGTGAAAAAAAATAGCTGAGAGTAAGTGTTAACAGACATCCTGACTTCTCTAGGGTTCCCCTCACTCCCAGTGCTGTTGCTGTCTGCTCTCCTAGGGTGGTTATGCAAAGTCATCTCTCCTTTTGGCCTTGAACCAATTTACAGTTTGGCTAAATCCTTTTTTTTCTACAGATTGATTCGTAGGTGAATTTAGGTAGTAAAGCACTTGAGACTGTGAAGGAAGTGACTGGGATTTTGAGTTATTCGATGAAAAAGCTTCTGGAATAAGTGTTATGGAGGAGGCTACAGCCACCAGGAAACATGAGGCTTTGAGGGCTGACATGTTTCAGCTACCAAAGCAGTGGTTCAGACCACCTGGAAATGCTCTGCTGATTGTAGCATCAAAATTTAGGATCTGAAAAACTCATATTAGCTTTTAGGAAGACTGCAAAAGAGGGACTGGCAGCTGAGTGCTTTGCCAGTCTCATGGCAGAGATGCTCTTCTGCGTGTGTTGGAAATGGCAGTACTGACAGGAACATGCTGGTACACTAATAAAATTGAAGGTACTTTCTTCAAGTAGGTAAGGAAGCCAGGAATGAGCCTTGTTCATTTGTTGTTAGACTTTCCAGAAACAGGAACGTGTTGTTTAGTTATTGTTGCTATCAGTTGTAAATGCAATGCTGTCTTCTGGTTTTTGGTTTTTTGGTGTTTTTTTTGGTAGAACCATCTAGAAATTTGCTAAAGCGATTTTCAGGTTTTGTGATTTTTTTTTTTTTTTCCTCATTTCAAATCCTCTTGAATTACAATCTCTGTAATAGACCAGGGGAAGAACCTTGTTCTTGTATTTCCAGGCTCAAGATTAAATTTAATGCACTTACAAGAAAAGAACAATTGCTGTCGCTTCCAAATGACATATGGTGATGTTGTTCTTGGCACCTGTCGCAATTATAAGGGAAAAAAAAATCTACTGTTGGGCTTTTGCTAATAATCATTACAGGATGAATGACCCAGAAAATGGTCTTGTTTTGTCTCAAGAGCTTCCTCAGATCTGTAGGTTTTATTTCACGAGATAGCAGTTAAAAAAATAGTTTTGACTTTGCACATACAACAAGATCCTTTCAGTCCTCTTTTTCTCATACTTGCCTGTTGGTAGTATTCCTCCTCATGATTTTCTGGGAGTTTGGTTAAATACTACTGGGATCAAATATCCTTTGATTTTTATTGAAGGGCAACCCTCCCATTCCCATTTCTTGTATCTTGCTAGTTTTGGCCTTACATAAAATCTTTTCTAGTCTGTATATTTTTCAGTATACTTAATGACGAGTTCCTGTCTCTTCCTGTGTTACTGGAACAAGTGTTTGCTTTCCAGCCGTTTAAGGAAGCAATTACCATATTAGTGTCAATGATGTAGCATGGCAAGCATTTAGAAATCAATATCATTGTTCTTTAAGAAATCTATTCCTGTGCTAATAGTAAATGAATACCCAGAGATTGTCACTGGAGAACTCATCTTTCTAAGTTTTAATCAAGCCTTTGCAATGTGATAGCAACCAGAGGCCAGTCAAACTGGGATCTCATTGTACCAGGTGCTGTACAAACATAATTTCTCTGTGGAAGAAACAATTCCATAAGGAAACGTTTTTCTTCTGTGTGAAGTTACATGTGTAAAGTGTTTTGGAGAAGAGCAAAACAAATTTTAAGAGCAAATCACGGAAAGCTGCAACTTTATGAGCTCCCAGTAAAAACCTGTTCTTATTTGAAGCATTTTTTAAAGTAATCTTATCACATTCCAAATCTTTCAATCACAGTTTTACTGTGTGAATGTGCGACTATTCTACATTAACTGGTATGCATCACCATGTCACTGATGTCAGCCTGTGAGTTTTTTGGGTTGGCATTAATTTTTCTATTAAGACTTTAACATTTCTTTCAGGGCAGGTAACTGAAAGTAGTTTTATTGAAAATATCTAAAAGCAGGGTCTATAGTTTTGGTTAACAATCAAATACGTAAAAAAACTTTTTTCTTTAATAAAATCACACCTTGTCTCTTAGGCCTGAAATACTTTATACAGTTCTTTACATTCCATGTAGACATGGTTTGCTTGTATACCATAAGAGATTTTATTTGAAACTCTTTTACAGTCCAGCTGCATCTCACACACAGATGGACACCAGCGTAACTCCACTATTTTTTGTGATTGCTCCCAATCTACACTAGCGCATGTCAGAGCAAAATTGGGGCCAGATACTGAAAATGTGGATGTTGCATCAAAGTACAGTTAGGGGCAGGGACTTCCTGTCATGGGATCTGCAGAAGAAACATCTTCATGCAAATTAAGAAAGCAGGTTGCTATATAAGAGTGGTTTTCTCCCCTGTGTCAGATTGTGTTAAGAACCAGCCTAGGTGTATTGTGTGAGAGCTTACACTACCATGTGAGATGGTTACTACCTTAAGGGTGGCTTGTGAAATGAATGATGCTATCAAAGGAGAACTTAGTCTTATTTTAGAAACTTTTTATCTGCTGACTGTCCAAGTAAAACCAAGCTACAGATAAAGAAGGTGCTACTTTAGTTAAAACTAAACCCGATTTGGGGAGGAGCAAACTGACCACTTGTCCCCTTTTCTGTCCAGGAAGAGGAAAAAAGGAAGGCAAAGGAAGAAGAGGAGAAGAGAGAGTATGAAGAGTACCTGAAGCTGAAGGAGAGTTTTGTAGTTGAAGAGGAAGGGGTTGAAGAATCAATGACAGAGGAAGAGGTATGTATGTTAGACTGTTACTGCAGTTTCCTTTATCTTTGTTAGACTCAGGTTGCCTTTACTGCATTCTGTTTTGTGGAAAATGAACTTGAAAGTAGAAGTCAGCCAAATGTTTTTGCTTGTAAAAGCTAAATTGTGTACATGGCACAAGTTAACCTGGAATATTTCCTGGGGAATGCTACAGTTCCTCATACCAGACTCCTACGAGTTTGCTTAGAGTGCTAAGGCAAATGCATATCGCTGGAAATGAGTTCTCTCCTCCCTTTGTCCAAGGACTGAAATAAAACTCATTCTGGATTTCAGATAATCTTTCACTGTTGGCAGCTCTACACTACCCATATATAGTTGGCCAAATGAAAGTAAGGCTAAATATTGAGTTTGGTAGTGCCCACATATCTTGGAAGGAATTGCTTGGTTTTGGTTTTATTTTCTAGACCAATGGAGCTGCTGTGAAATCAAATGAAAAACCAAGCTTTTGTTTTAAAAGGCTTCTGTTAAGAGAATTCACAAGACACAACCTAGGTGCTTGTGGGTTGTACGTTGGAAAACTTAATTCAGTGTTGCAAATAATTGCTATGTTTCATAGTATTTCAACTTCATGCTTAATATTCTATCGGGCTTCTGTGGCTGCCTGCAGACGTGCTGCTGGGGATGGTGGTTGAAGTGCGATACTTCACATAATATCACAGCAAACTTGAAAAAGTTCCACTGTTGTGGGAGGCGGTGTTCTTATTCTGTCTGCTGAAAACCTGTTAGACTCATTTTAATTTCTATCAAATGCTGAAATTGCTCTTGGGTTGTAGCTGCCAAATTTGAGCTGTCCAATGCATTTCATGACAAGTATATTTTGTCAGGGCCATGTGTGTTTTTGCTCCTCTGCTGAAGGGGCCCTGCCGAATAGATTTGCCTTTCGTGTGACTGAAAGTGGCTTTGGGCTGAGGAGCTAGTAATCAGTCAATACCACTTGACACTGGTCACAAGTTCTCACTATGGACACCTTCCCTTTAAGATAAATTCCTCCATCATTTCGGGATTAGCACCAAGGGCTGTGGTATCTGGTGATGCGGAGAACAGTGAAATGCATACTTCCTATTGAAAATTCCTTCAAAAATGTGTGCCTGTCCTGTTAGAAGATAACATTATACCTAAATGTTAAATCGCTCCACTTTAGACACCCTTTAAAGCCAGAATGTGTTTATTTCTCTGTTCCTACAGCTGCCTCTCTCAGAGAAATTAATCTCTATATTTGGAAACAGAGAAACGTGCTCCTCACTCAAAAGGGCTTGGCAGGCAGTTGGTGATACCTGGATCTCTACATAAAATCTTTGGTAGGGGTGGGGAGTTAGAACTGTAATAGTAGGCGATTTGGAAGTCATCTTCAGAAACAATCACAGGTACATAGTTATTTGGAGGCACCAGCCTTGCAGAAAAAGCAAGCCTCCCTTCTGCCTTGTGGTGGACAATGCACTTGAGCATTTCAGTGCCCTGTTACAACAGCTGACTGCCTTGTGCTGTGGAGGCCAGTGTGCTGAAACTCATGCTGAAAAGAAGGTCCTGAGTCCAGAGTTAAGCAGTTAATTAAGGCTGATTGATTTCCAGGCTTGCAAAGTAACTTGATCTCCTGTTAACTTAAATGCACATTGTTTGCATTGCCTTTGAAAATTGAGCTGCTTGTATTGAAATGCCGGATTTCAGGTGTGTAGCTTTGAAAACAGCTTGAGCTTCCACATGTGTGGCGCAGCTGTGTGCTCCACTTGACCATCTGCATGAGCTGTCTTCTGAATCACTCTGTGCTTCACCTCTGTACAAAATGTCCTCAGTCTCTACGTGTAACCCAATACACAATGCACACTCACCCAGATGTGGTTATTTCAGGGTAAGTATGATGTGAAGAATAAGAAGGTCAAAGATTCCTTTCAGAAAACACTTCAACACAAATCGTACTTGAACCATTCTGTCTTAAAAAATACCCATCATAAATTCCTAGTTAAGATTAAATCTAGATTTTTTTTTTCCCAGTTCAAAATCTCCCTTAATTTTTAGAACTTCAGAAGTCTGCAAGATAAACACATTTATAATATTTGTAGTCTGCAAGTTTGCAATGCGTTTAATGTTCGTGAGTTTAAAATAACAATTTTTTTCCTTGCTGTATCCAGTCTCACAGCTTTCTAATGGAATTTCTCGAATATGTTAAGGTAAGCTACCATTGGTCCTTCTCCTCCTTCCATACTTGTTAGTTTGTGTAAAATACCTTTGTCTAAGAGCTGAGTTGCAGAAAGGAGGGAAATCTTTATTTCCTCTTTGATTTACTTAAATAGTTAACAAGTAACAAAAGTGATACCTTAAGTCTGCATTATTTACTGAACTGTGCATGACCATGTCCATCATTGTTAAAATGGTTTGTAATTATAGCCGTGTTTTGGCTTTTTTGGGGCGGGATTTTGATTCTTAACCTTCTTTCCTAAGGATAGATGCTATAAACTCTGAGCCTGGTGGCTCACCCTGTTTGTGAACAGCACTGTTTGCTGTTGATTGGGATTTGGGGCATTCAGGCTTTTTGTTTGTGAACATCAGCTACTGATTTAGAAAACAATCTCTGCATCTCAGCTCAGCATGAATGAGAATTGCTGTACCAGCATGTGGCCTGCCGTGCAGGATGTGTTTGTGTCTGAAACGCTGGCATCGTAAAGGTCAATCCAACTTTTCATGTGAATTCTTTTCTTGTTTTTTATCTGTGCAATTTGCAATGTTGTCTTAATGTTTGGATTGAAGAAGTAGTTCACTTGTTTTTAACAAGGTGTGTTAGTCTCCCTTTCATCATATTGTACAGTTGGTTATTTAAAACCTGTGGTGTGTTCATGAGGATTTCCATTCTTGATCTGTGAGGACAAATGCTTCTTTCTCCGTTATTGGTATATCAAAGGTCAAATGCATTTTTCTACTCTTGCTCTAACAATGTTATGCAAATCTTTTGTCCTAATGAATCCCTTTCCTCCTTTGCTGGAAACTGGACTGTTATCTGACAACCTACGGCATGTGTGTGAAAGGCTTCATTAGTAAGCAAATCACTTGTGTACTTAGTGGAATCCTAATCATTTTGTTAATCCAGAATCTTGGACTCTGGGCCAGATTTGCTTGCCCGTTATCCCAGCAAAACCCCAGGTTTACAGATCTGTCTGATGGGTAACTCTCTGCAAGGAGTCAATTTGAGTGATTGCCACAAAACAACGGCTGGATCGTTCCAGAGTGGTGACGGAGTTGGGGTGCCAGCGCCTTTCTCTGGGCTGCCCTCTGCCTTCTGTGCCACTGGCATTTTTGGTGCTGTGTCCCGTTGCCGTCGGGCCCCGGTGAGAGAAGGCTGCTGGGTTTGCAGCTGTCAAGTGCTTCCCGCTCAGCATGATCTCTGGGGGTAATTTGGAAACATCTAAGCTAGTAGCACTCAGAGTTAGGACACATCTTCATTGCTGAAGCCCAAATGAAAATAGAGCCTGTTCAGTAACCAAGTCCCCAGCATCAACTAGTCAGCTCTGATCAGAAGCACCACCAAAAGCAGATGAGACAGCCAAGAATAGATTGGAAAAGCCACGGGTGACATGTTTAAAGAGCCTAAGTAAAACCATGGGGTGAAGATGAACCATCAGATGGCACATTTCATCTTGCAGCCATTTCAATATTCTGTTTTCCACAGAAGCCAGAGAGATTTCTTTGGAAGAGGGGGGAACTTTGAAATGGCCAATGTCTGTGAAGTCCACCCTCTGTTTCAGTTGCTGTCTGTGGAAATGGGCCGCATGGTTCGGTGTGATCCCAGTTCACCTGTTCCCATCTAAGGCTTTCAGGATACAGCCAAACCATCAGTTAAGGAAAACGTGCTGTTCTTTATCCTAGGGCAGCTTGTTTATCAATAACAGTAGGTAGAACAATAGGATATTTCAGTGTCCCTTGGGATCTTCCACTAAAATTGGGAAGGTTTCCAAGGGATAACGCTGTAGGGTCCGATTCTGCACGTTGCCGTGGTGGTTGTGATGGATGGAACAGATTAGTCACAAACTCTCAGTTCAGTGTTTAAGCACATATGTACAGTTTTATATTAGTCACTTCTACTTGACGTCAGAGAAATTAAGCACAGGCTGAAAACCTAATTCAGAAGCTCTTCAACACCTGATTTCCTATGTAGAGATGAGTTGCAGAACTGGGACACTGCTTTCTTTTACAAGTTTTAAGTTGGTTTGGTTTTTTTTAATCTTGAAAGTATGCTTAATATATAGATTATGTATTGCCCTCATCTCTTCTGTTCACAGAAACTGTTGATTTATATCAAGAATATATCAGTGCTAAGCTGTCTGAAAAAACGTATAAATTACAAGAGAAGCGGCATTTTTTAAAAATAAAATTTAATTTAGCTCTTCTGCTGAATACTGGTATAACCGACTGGAGATAGCTCACCCCATGCTTCATTCCTAAGGGTGTTTGAAATAAAATTCAGCCTCTTTTTCTACAGCTCTGCCTCGTGGGATTGTTTTAAATGGCATTTTTCTTAAAAGCACCAAAAGCTGAGTGTCTCCCTTCGGGGCTTTCACAGCAGCCCCTCAACCTCAGCCTGCTGCTGTATCACCACCTCACACCTTGGGCTGTGACACCGTCTCTGCTGCAGGAGCCATCCTCTGTGTTCGCTGCTTACTCTGGCCGGTCCTCAAGTTACAGACTAGCCTGCTCTGCTCTGAGGGGCAGAATAACCAATTCTGGATGTGGGAGCCTTACGGTTTTACTCAGCAGCGCTTGTAGCTGCGTGACACACCTTACACACCAGCTCTGTGGGCTCTCTGAGCACTTCAAACAATTAATAATGAAGTGGGTAGAGGTTAAAGAGTGGCTGGGCTGTTCCCTCGCTGTGGAGCACTAGCTCTGCTGGCCCAGGGAAATAGGAGCCTGCAACTTTGTCCATCAAACTGTTCTCACCCAGCTTGACAGTGTATCATTGAATGCATCTGAATTACAGGCAGCGAATTGAAACGACAAACTACATTTGAAAGGGATAGCAAAGGACTCAGAGGCTTTACCCCTTCCTGTTTTTTCTTTAAGAAGAACGATGCTTACAAGATAAGGAAAAAAGATCCTACTCATCTCAATCCTGAGAGCTCTTGCTCTGTTTCATCCCTTGCTGAGGACAGCAGCAGAATCACACCTAAAATTAAATGAGTTCAGTAAAACATGGATGTGTATATGTTGCTCTGTGAAAGTTAAGCCTGTCTCTTAAAACATGAAGCATGTGGTAAAGTGTTTTGTTCGCTTGGGACCTCACAATGTCATTATATTTAGGAGTGTGTGTGGGAAATGCATCCTAATTCCACCCCACCCTCTGGGCTCTTATTCACAGCAGGATCTATCTTGGAAAGCTTCCACTAAACTTGGTCACTGAGGGTGCATATCTTTAAGTGAAGGTTTAAATCCTGTTTTTCTTGTTTATGTGGCTTTGCGCTTCCCCCCCCACCCCAATCCTTTTAAAAGAAGATGTGACGAATCTTGGCAGTTCCCAGCTCTGAGAACTGAATTCCATGGACTGGTTCCAGTTCCATGCGTTCAGTCCATGGTATTCAGTTCTCTAGCTTGGCTGCATCGAACTTCACAACTACTAAGTCTGTGTGTGGCTTTTTTTTTTTTTTTGTCTGATTACTTAATGAAAAAGTTTCATCTATTTCAGCCTCTCTTTATTTCTTCAGTGTCCTTCCAATGGACTTTCAAGATCAGAAACAAATGCATTTATCATGTGAAATATTATATCTGATAATGTAAATGGAGCTCTCTTAGCCGTACATATGTGGCTCTTAGGAATGTTGTCCAGAATCTTAATGGAACAGTTTTCAAAAGTTTTATGTTTTCTAAATTCCTTATAAACAGTGCATCCTTTTACTGCATCTGAACAGATAAGCTTCTAAAACTTTTGCAGATAAGAAAACAGGAACCAAGCAGCTCCAGACGAGTGCACCAGGTGTTTTCTGTAATTCTCTGGAGCTACAGAGAAGCATAAAACCAGATGTGAGCAGTGGTGACTGCATCCTGGCTGAGAAAGGCTGCAGTAAGAATCTCTTTCAAAAGCAAAATGAAAATTTGCAGTTCCTGCTTCTGCCTTTGTTCTCAGAGCTCATTGTGCTGCCTGTGCAGGAGTGCACTAGCAGTATGCTTCCAGCACTGACAATTTTAATAAGGTGTTCACTTGCTTAGGAAGATTATTATGGCGTTAATACACATGACATTAATAAAACAGACTAAAGCACTTAATGCTGCCAGTCTTGTCCAGGTTTCTGTGTATGTGCTGATAGAGACCAGTGATCATTTTAAAATGAAACATCTCTCGAACAAAAAAGGACCGTGCCTAAAGCATACTGGAAATTAAAGGTAGCAGTTGAGAAACTCAGGTGGCAGGGAGAACACATCCCTGGCTGTGTATTGTGCTTGTGCTCATCCTGTCCTCTTAACGTAAGGAAAGGTTCAGGTTGAACACTGGCAAATGTGTCTGAGTCTTCACTGAAGTGGGTCAGAGCATCCAATCCACAGCGTTTCCACAGAGCAGACTGGTCACTTAAATCGGAGTGTTTCAAATGACAGGTTCTGCTTTGTCTATTAAATGCAAATTTTTTTTATTTGAAATATAAACAGGCTAATACTTTAATTCATCAACTGCATGTAACTCTTGTTTGTTTCCATAGAAAACAAAGGTAATCCAGCTGGAGGACTTGGCTTCACATTTGGGTTTAAGAACACAGGTAAGTACTAACTTTTGGGGTGCAAATATAAGCAATGACTTTAGAAGGACAGGAGAGAAAGTGGGTTAATAAGGGTAACTAACATCTGTGCAAGTGTCTCAACATTACCGAAAATGCTTGGGTTTTGGGGGAAGTTCAGCAAAATCAGCCCTAAAAACGTGGCCATTCATCAAAGTACCAGCCAGCCAGTGAAGGATTTTGGGCTTATGAGATTGTTTTAGTGACAAGTGCTCAGTCTGCCTCTTGCACAGCTGCCTGTCAGCTAAGGGATCTTACAGTGTTTGCAAATCTAGTAATAGAGCAGTTCAGGGTACTTCGGAATCAAAAGTAGAGCTAGAAGCCAATTCAGTCACAGCCTGAATAACTGGACAATGTTATGTTTGCAGACAATCAACAGATGAGGTGTTTTGTTCCAATTGCTTGTGTGTTCCTAGAACATTTAAGAATTTTTATCTTCTAGTGCATTACTAAAGAAAATTGTCTCTCTTGGCACCATGTAAGCCTGTCAAAGTGAGCTCATAGTGCAATATCTGCACTTTTTTTTTTCCCCCCCTCTCTGTCCTTTTTCTCTTCTCTAAACATTTTATGTTTTGACCTGAAGAACAGTTGTGGTTTGGTTTATTTTAATTTGAGCACATTTGACATAGATTTCTGTTGTTCTGTACCTAATCTGATTTTAGGGGTGCCCCTTCACAGCAGCTTACACTGCTGTTAGTCCAGGCTGCTGTGCCCCTGCCCCTCTCTTAAACCAGACCTTCATTTAAGCATTTATCTGGTTGAAACCTAAACTATAATTTGATTCTGCTGTCACCTAAATACAAGAAAGAGAGAGAGAAAGAGAGAGGCAGAACTGTGGAAGCCAAGGCTTAGATACCAGTTTAAGGTGTAGTGGAACTGCATGCTTGGAGTAATTACAGTGTTAATCCAGCAATACATTCAACAAGTTATTGCTTTGGATTGGTAAAAGAGGTTTCCTGTTAAATGGAGAAAGGAAAAATATAAAAAACTCTGGAATGTATTGACTGTAGCCAGGTTCTTGGAGAAATACCTCAGTGTACTTCCCAGAACTTGCGTGGTGCATTGGCACTATACAGCCTTTCCCTGGGAAGATTTCTGTAACCACCCCCCATTCCTGGAAACAACCAGGTAATTTAGCAAGAAAAGTCTCTTGGGGGTAGGGAGGTTACTTGAACACCCAAAAATGCAGAAGCTTGCTTCATCCTTTAGGCTCAAAGGGCTTATTGCATCTGTCTGTGTGGAAATACTGATGTAAATCCTTCAGTCAAGTCTTTAACATGGAGGAATTAAATGTAAGCCTCCATCTGTAGTTTATCTGAACATGTGAAACATTTTTGCCTCCCTCTTGATCAGTTTGTTTATTCCTTTTTCTCTTCTGAACAGGATGCAATTAACAGAATCCAGGACCTGATGGCAGATGGCACTCTAACAGGTGACAGCCAAAACACAAAGGGGACTTTATTGTAGCTGGTGAATAGTTGGTGCAGCAAATGCCTTTACTGGGGTGAAGAGGCTTCCAGTGTGATTTCTGTTTTAAACTGTAAAGGATCCTAGTAGGACTTGATAAATAGATTATTTTTATTATCCCTGCTTTGGCTGCTGTGAAACCCGTTTAAAGCACTATGGGATGTGATTGCTGCAGAGAGGTTGGGGGTGAATGTCCCCAACAGTTCAGGAACCAGCACCTGCCCATTGACTGAGCCCTGCTGAAGGCCCTCAGGGGTTGCTGAGCAGCCAGTTGCAAACGCTGAAACTTCCAAAACCTGAATTTGAAAGAATCACTTGGATGTTTTGAGGTGGTTTTCAAGGCTGTTGCTGTGGCTAAAGCCAGGACTGGGGTATGTATGGCATGTGTGGGAGAAGCAAACATCCCAGAGCACTCCAGGATGCTGTAGGAAGTGAAGTGCTTGTTTCTAGCCTCGTACCCACACAATCAAAGTTGGAATGTAAGCAGAGACCGAGCGTGTGGGTAGCTCCCTGTCTAACGAGTCTGTTTTATTGTTGGGCAGTCTTTTTCTTCCCAAGGATGAAGTAGGGAGAGGTGCCAGTGCAAACATTTATTGACCTGATACTGTGATCATGGCTGGGAAACAACCATCTTGGTGGATACCCAGTGAAATGACCTAAAAGTGCTCTGAATTAAAGCGTAAGGATGTGTCACTGTCCTGGCTGTGTCTGTGGCCTAAAATGCTTGCCAGCGAGGCTCTCTGCCTTGCCTTTGATCCTGTCATGCCTAAGAACAGAGAGATCTAATCTCGCTCTCGATGGAGCAACTGAAATACAGAAATTGAGCTTCATTCCCTTTTAGAGAGTAAGCTGGAATGGCTGAGCTGGACCCCGCAGGGCCTCTGAGTCACCTCCTGGACTCTCCTGTAGCTCTGCCTTTCTCCACCAGCCGCCTGGGCCCACAACATCACCTCCAAACCCACGTACCTGAAGAAGCTGCTGTGGTACTCCCAGCTAGCTGCGCACAATGGAAAGAATGTCTGTCTTTGAGCAAAATTACTCTTACCAAGGCACTGGGTTATTGTCATAGCCCTGCTCAAAGACCCAACGGTAGAGAGGAGATAAAAGCCTGACTGCCAGCACGTTGTTCTGCCTGCCCTAGATAGGAAATGCAGCCTCAGCAGTTTGAACATCCCTTCCAAAAGAAGTGATTGATGTCTGTCGGGAAGTGAGAGGAGCCAAAATGCTGACTTGAAGGTCCTTTCTTTTCCCCTGTAGGTGTGATTGATGACAGAGGAAAGTTCATCTACATCACTCCAGAGGAGATGGCTGCCGTGGCTCGGTATATCAAACAGCGAGGCCGAGTCTCCATCGCAGAGCTGGCCCAAGCCAGCAACTCCCTGATCAACCTCCAGCCTGACAGCCGAGCTGTCACCCCAACTGTGGCGTGAAACTGTGGCCTGAGAAAAACACAGCAGGAGTTTAACCTTTTAATGAACAAGCCACGTAATTAAAAACGAAATGAGAACCCCTCTAGTCCATTCACGGTGCTTGAAGATAGGATGCTCTTTTTAAGCATCAAATGTAAGACTTGATCAGAAGTTTTGCTTTTGATTATGTTAGAGCTGGTATCAAATAGGATGCTCTTTTGTACAACAGAGGTTAGCCAAGAACTTGGGCCTAAAACAGTCTGATGCACTTGTACTCCAGGAATATCAGTGATTTTCACATGGTTACTTTATCTTGGCAGTCAGTCTAACGCAACTATACCCACACTTTTTATTGTTTCCAGATTCTGATGTCTGTATCAAATATATTTGGTTTTCGTTGTATTTGGGATTCTCCAGACTTGCTCTGCACTTAGGGACCTGTATAATTTTGTGGCAATGACATAGACAGCCCAGAATAATAGGTGTGTAGGGGCGAGGCTTGCAGATTTTGTCTTCTGTGTCAACATTGGAAAGAGAGAGAAAAAATATATCCTGCAAGTGTGTCTTTGTTCTTACTGAAATATATACTGAAACTCTAGAAAGAGTGCTTGTTATGTTGTGAGAACTTCCAGAGGTTATTTCAGATAAACCTTTGCTATATAAATATGTTTTGCTTGGTTTATATAATATGAAAAATTCGCTCGCAGCAAAGCTGCGTTATTTTTCTGTAGCCAAGAGACAGAAATACCTCCAGGGAAAGGCTAACTCGCCTCATTTATTGTGCAGGCCAATTCTACTGATACCAACCAGATTCTGATGATTCATCCTTTGAAGTAAGAGCCAGCACAGTGTGTCTGAAGGCCTCAGACACCACCCCCGCCCCATGGCCTTTCTGTTCTGGATGTTTGGGGTTTTTTTAAATAAAAAATTCAGGCACTATGAGTCATGCAATTAATGTTGCAAGTAAATGATTATTAATATATTGCTTGTAGGGGTCAGTATACTTCCTGCATAAGAAGATTGATTTTTTAATAGCCTAGCTGATGTTTTGTTAATTCTCCTTTCTGAAATCAACAGAATCTGTGTGGATATGCAGTAATTGGGGAGGGCAAGGGTTGGTTTTGTCTCTGCCAAACTTAGAGATAACTTGAATAGACTAAAAGCTGCGTTATCAGTGAGATGAGATAGCAATAAAACAATGGGAGGAAGCATATTTCCCTTTCAATCTCTGCACCACTGCTGAATGTGATACTCTGTGGAGTGCTGAGTTACAGCGTGTTGGTGTGAGAGGTCGGTTCGTCGTTACCGTGGTGCACAGAGATTGCTAGAGATTTGAGGCTGGTAAAGTCTCTTAATTATTCACAATTTGATTTTGCCATGACTTTTTTTGTTCCGTCCGCAACTATTCTTGTAATAAAATAAACAATATTGAAAGAACTGCAGAGATTTGTATTAGAGATGTTTTTTTCAGTGTGGTTTATGACATAAAGGAGGCAGCCAGCAGTGCCGCAGCCTCCAGTGTGCCAAAGACCAGAAGTATTCTGTTAAATCCACAGAAATCACTCAGTTTCTGTGGACATAACAAATACCAACCTGTGCTCTGCACAGGGCAAACTTACTTCTACTCTGCTCATACTCTGCATCAGCAAAGCCCTCCTGCCACTGCAGCCTGGGCCAGTGTGTGCACTCCCCTTTTGCATGCCTCTCTGTCAGCTCGGATGAGATTTGTGTCTTGTAATGTCAAAATAATTCAGACTGTTTTGTTAGTGGAGTTTCACAGGGCTGCACCAAAGCCCAAAGGGTTGTTTGTGATTCACTGACGGGTGGCAGGAAGACTGGTTATAAAGTGCTGTTTAAAGGAGGTGCCAGGCAGGAGAAGGTGATAGCAGAGTATTTATTATGAGCCAAATTCATGGTCTGTTAACAAAAACAGGCGCCTCAGAGGTGCCGCTTGCTGGAGCTCCTCTGCAGGAGTGTTTATGAAGTGAAGCAGACAAGGTGGCCCAAGCCAGCCCTTTCGTGTGGGAGATGGGTCACCAAACAAGTTTTGCAGATCCCTCTGTGTGTTGTCTGTCATTGTGGGAGGCCAGACTTAACCTGTGGGTCCCGCCTAGTACTGAGCTTATACCCAATGCTAGCGTCTGGGAGTCTGTGCTTGGCTTTTACCCACAATTCCCTACCAGGGACCCCCAATGGTGCGTTTTGGACCTGACCCTGGCCGTGCTGTTCCTAAGGTTGGGGAGTTGTCGTGTGGGAATGAGCCCAGGTCTGGTGATGGGCTTTGGAAAAGCTGATGCTATAAAGTCACAGACTAGTTTTGGTTGGAAGGGGCCTTTTAAGGTCTTTAGATTTTTAAAGATCTTTTAAGATCTTTAGATCATCCAGTCCCACCCCTCTGCCACTGGCAGGGACACCTTCCACTAGCCCAGGTTGCCCAAAGCCCCGTCCAACCTGGCTTGACCACGTTGTAGTCTCAGATGTAGCATCAGCCAGGAGAAGACGTGGCCACGTGGCTGTGCCAGCAGCTGGTCTGTTGCCATCCTCTCCCACTGCTTCATTCCTGTGCTTCGCACCCCAGTGCATCATGTCAGCATTCAGGGAAACCCGTTTCACTCGCTTTGGGGTGCTTTGTGATCCTCACTCTATGTGGCTTGAGAGGCTGGCCACTTAGAGGAGCCAGGGAAAAATCTAGCTCACAAAAAGCATACATAGGCTTCTGGTTTATCTGAAAATTTCTGTGGAAGCAAACTGTGCTCTGCCTTGAGGAAACTGTTTTACTTGTTCAGTTTTTCCAGATTGCCAGCACGAGGTAAGGACAAAGGGGTGTCAGTGCTCTGACCCGCAGGTCCCATTCAGCCCCTTGCTCTGGGGAACAGCCACTACTATTAAATTGTAACTGATTTTTCTATTAAAGAATGATATTTTCTAGGAATCCACTTAAAAAGTCCGAGGAGGCAATTGAAAACCTTGAATACCATTACTTCAGGCTGTTCAGTTGGTTTATAATGAAGCAATTCAAATCTATGCTGCTTCTTAAATCCGTGTTCATGGGGTTTTCTGTGGAAGTGGAGGGGGAAGAAATGAAGGGCTGTGCTCCAAAAATTGTTTCATTGACAGAATTCATAAATTGTTGTAACATTTCCTATGAGAAGATGAATATTTCAGCATGAGAAGAGACAGCTCACAGGAAGGCAGTTATCCCTGCTGGCACTAAATTAGGGGATGCCCCTGAGACGGGGGGTGTCCCTTCTGTCCTGGGTGAGGATGGAGGCTGAGGATGCTGACGGAGAGGTGGAATGGTCCATCAGCACCTGGGGTGCTCTCCCCTCGGCCTTCCCTGGCATTTAGAACTGCCCCTGACCCTCCCTTGCAGGGATCCACGGTCCTGCAGGATGGTACAAGATTTCCCTGGCTCGTCCGGAGCACCGATCCACCCCACGTGCTGATGGAACATTTTACAGAGTCGGGCACAAAACCACCACGTGCATCTGTCAGCGTGGGCCCTTCACACCCGGCACAGTCAGCAGGTAAATACAGGGCAGGAAAATACTGGTAAAATAGCAAATACAGTAAAATAGTGAAATACTGGGATGCACTGTAGATTTAGGGTTCATAAAAATTTAAAAGCTCTTCTTGGAGCGTCTCCCGTTTTAAAAATGTAGACGCAAACCAAAGTTTCTCACAGATATTTTTGCAAGTGAGTGTTGGCTGTTTATAGCTCACGACTAAGAACCAGGGTATGGTGCTCAGCGAAGCTCTACCCGGGCACTTCACTTGGGGATGATCTGTATGCAAATCCCTTCTCAAAATTAGCTTTGGGCAAGGACACTTACTCCTGCTACTCCTCTGTGCTAGAGGCAGGACGGTTTCGATGTTTTGCTTCTTTGTCCAAAACACTTTTATCATTTTTTTAAAAGCTGGAACATCCATTTGGCTTTAAAATAAATTAAAAATCCCTATTTTCCGTTAAACTTTGCCCATGCATTATGCAGTATCTATCACCGTGTTTTTCCTCTGAACTAGCACAAGAGCTCCCAGGTACTCTGCTCGTACATGGAAGGAATAGTAATCATAATTACTAGCTCATTTGAGCGAGCTTGTCCTAATTTTGCCATTCCACCGGAAGGCAAAGGCCAAAACAATTAGACTGAAAACCTTGTCTTCATATTACACAAGGGGAGATCTAATCAAGGAAAACTCCAGCTTCTTTTTCAATGAAAGAATATTGTCTACGCGGAGCATTTACAGGTTGCAAAACTGTAAAAGCAACAAATGTCACAACTTTTAATTTTCTTTGTTTGTGATATGAGTTTTAGAGCCCATCAGCCTCATGGTTTCCAGGTTTTCTCTCTAACTATGGATACTAGGAACAGATTGTTGTTGTTGTTGTTGTTGTTTGGGGTTCTTTTTTAATGGATATTGTGTGTTGATCATTTTATGAAAATGCTAAATATCACAAGATGGCAGTGAATCACGAAGCTGCAATATTCCCCTCTGCACAGGAACAGCCATGTTCTGAATTCACAGATTTATATTTTTTAAAGTATTTAAATCTTCTTTTTTTTAACCCTAGAAGCAAATTCAGAGCGTTGGTGCCAATCTGCGACTTGAATGCAGGGATCCCTGCAAAAGAGCTGATATCTGGGGAAGTTTTGTGCCCAAAGCACTGTAGGAATGAGACCTTAATTCTTTTCACCTTCTCTGATATGAAAAAATTAAAAGTCAAGTAAAACAAAGGAGGAAAAAAAAATCTTCCTGCCCTAAAGACGAAGGAACATTTTATGATCTCTGTGGGTACATCTGTATTCATCAAATGTGATGTTTTCTGTCCCTGAGGACAAGTCATTCGTATCTGTTCAAACAGTGAAACAAAAAGTGGCATCAACTCAGCTGCTTTTTGGGAACCATTTTCTGGAGGGTCCTCGGCCGACCCGGGCGCAGACCCCACAGCAGTGGTGCCCCAGCCCAGATTTGCCACCTCCACCCTTCAGAAGGCTTCTCATTACGGGGCAGGCTGGTTTGGTGCTGAGATAGAGGAACAGCTCCAGATTTATTTGTTGACCAGTAAACCAAATAATTTCCCTTTTGAGTCAAAGAGCTGCACTTCCCTTTCTGACGCCAGGTGAAACCCCCCTGATGTAGCTTATCTCCTGAAAGTGCCTGCACAGCTGTTTGATGTTCTCAGAAGTGCTGAGCTTGCACATAACAGCAGGACAAACAAGCTTCTGCTGACTGCATCCAAAATTGTTGAACGACTGGTCTGGCCTGCCCCGTCGACAGGGGGAGGCTGCAAAGAAAACCAGCCCCTAAGAAGAGGAGCTCCAGGGAAGAGCCAGTTTTAGAGACGGATCATTACTTGGAAGCCAGCTAGGCTGAGCTCAATGCTGCTAGTCTGGGGATCTGGCCCAAAAATCCAATCAGGTGCCTTATTAATTGGGTCCAGCAGGAACGTGTCTTCTCCAAGTCAACGGATTTTGCTGTGCAGCTGGACAGATGAACTAGAAGTGTGAGATTTAAGAGTGAAGTTATGATGTACACATTGGAGTGACCAGAACTGTCCCCGCCACGGGTGGGATCTTGTGCAGGTCTTGGATGGCAGTGTTCGCACTGCAGTAGAAAGATCGACTTCTGAGTTCATCCTGCTCTTGGCTTTCCCTCCAGAACCTTCACTGGCAGCTCATGGTGGTTTGAAGAATCATCTAATACCTCCAATATCCTCCGCTGAAGTCCTGCTCAGCCATTTCCACCTGATGAAACCCAGTTTGCCCCAACATCTAAGGAGCAGAAGGTGGAAGCTTTTGGGAGCCCATCAATGATCTGGTATGTTGGGAAATTCCAGGAATGTTTGATTTGCCTTTAGGTGAGAACTTCTAGTATTTCACTGCAGGGACAGAGAAGAGTAGAAAAAGCAAAGGGAGCTGGATTTGGGTGCTATTTCTGTGGATCAGAGGTACCAAACGCAGGGAATCCCCCAGGAAAACCAAGCACGGAGCTTGATGCATCTTATGTGTGTGCTGAGGGTGTCTGTACAGGTGGCCACATATGCACAGGAAGTCTGAAATGTTCCCTGCCCTTATGGTTTGCATATGCAAGTGATCTCTGCCAGTCATTTCTGCAGGCTGCAGCCTCGCAGCTCCCATATGTGAGTGACCTGGAAATATCCCGTATGTTAAGTGTATGTATACGTGTTATGTATGTGCAATTATCTCTTTGACTATTCCAGAGGTCCAACAAGTTTCCGGGGACTGGTGGATATCCCTGAATCCCTGGGAAATGAAGAGTTCCCATCATTTTCTATCCAGACAAAAGCTATTAGCCAGGGTGGCATGTTAACACCGAACAGGTCTCAAATGATAGAGGTTTACAGAATAAAAGATCCATGGAATGGGAGCTTCAGGCTGAAAATTGAAGTGAAGACAATGTTAATGAGGTTTTGAGGAA